TGAGCTGAGCCTCTAAATATAACTGCACAGAACCACCTAACTGCATAGAAGAAAAAAGATAGCTGTAGCTGAGGCCAAACTGCACAGCAATCTTTGGACAGTTGGCAGAAGCACTGATGGAAACATATTTGCCTCCAATTTCCATATATGTGAACCCAAGCAATCATAGCCCAGAAGTCCAGATGACTTTGACATGTATAGGAAACACAGAAAGAGAGCCAAGAAAACTATCTGAACCACACAGATCTTACACACTTGGGCTTTCTCAGGTCATGAATAACTTACTGCTATTTCCAAACAGTGTTCAGTGAATTACCCAGTAAAAGAGGGTGGCAACAGAAGATACTACATTGGCAAGTTGAAAACTATGAGCAATAATTCCTTTCCTGGTGACTGACCCCATGGTAGATACTTCCTGCAAGCTGAGGGTGTCTGTGACTATCAGGGATATCTTCAAAATTTAGCAGAATCTATTCCAAGCTGAAAGGTATGGCCTTGCCAGTTGTGGAAAAAGCTGACTCTGCTTTGCCTGAGCCCCTAAGGGCGGCTAGAATCCAAAAGGAATGGAAAGGGCGACATCACAGTCAGGCCCTGGACCTTTTGTCATGCAGGATAAATGTTCCTCATGGAATATTCAAGATTAGATACAAAAACCAGGTATTAGAATCATGTGGGGTAGGGACAGAAGCTGTTTTCAGACACCACCTGGCTTTTGCCACCCAAAAGAGGAGTAATGCCCTTGGGGCATATATTCAGGGTCAAATAAAACAGAGGCTCTACATTGGGCAAGGACACTGTTCATGCTTCCTGGGAATGTGAGTTGTCAGAAAACCTCTTCATTACTATGTTTCAATTATTCTTCTCTGAATATGGATGCCACTGGTCTGTATTTTTGTTTTTTTCTTTTAAGAAACTTTATTGTTCTCTTTAGTTATATATACTGTAGAATACATTCTGACATATCATACATACATGGAGACTAACTTCCCATTCTTGTGGTTGTATATAATGTGGAGTTTCGCTGATCATGTATTCATATATGAACATTGGAGAGTTCTGTTCCATTCGTTCTACTGTCTTTCCCATTCCCAGTCCCCTCTCTCCCCCCCATTCCCCCTGTCCAATCTGGTGAACCTCCATTCCTCCCTCCTCCCATGCATATTATGAGTCAACATCTGCATATTAAAGAGAACATTCAACCTTTGGTTTTATGGGATCACCAGTCCCTCCCATGGGTTCTCATTTCACTGAATTTGACCATGGACAGTCTTGGACATCTGTTCCACTATGCATTACCTATGTTTTACTGACTGGTGAGCCCCCTGCAGTCTGTCTGGACCAAATCCTTCCCCTTCCATCTTTCTCTACCTTTGTGTATTCCAAGATCTCAAAATAGTCTTCTGTAGATATGAACACAAAGCTTGTCACTGGAAGGCACCATTTTCATCAAAGGAGACATATTCTTTCTATAGCCAGATAACTGAAGTACTTGTATCTGCCCCAAGTGTGACCTGTGTCAGGGAACAGACATAGAAAAGCACTTCCCAAGAGCCCTCAAAGGAGCACTCATCCAAAAGAGCATTAAGAGGTGTTCACAGCAAAGATATTTGAGCAAGTTTCTTTGTAAGATTTGCAAAAAGCCTTTTATATCTCATTGAGGCTAAAATAAGGACATAATGGGGGGCTAGGATTGTGACTCAGTGGTAGAGGCACTGAGTTTGATTCTCAGCACCACACAAAAATAAATACATAATAAAGGTATTGTGTGTAACTACAATACACACGCACACACACACATATGTATATATTTTTTTTCAAAAAATAAAGATATAATGGCTTTCCAAACTATTTGGGAACAGATATTTTTCAAGTGATAAGCCACAGGAAATACCCACATCAAAGTTGGCAAACAGGAAAGAAGAGTATGCTTACTTCTCTGGAAGAGAAGTGAAATGACCAAAGCATCCCTTAATCCTCAGATGAAGGCATATCTGGGAACTGGCACACCCAGCTTGCATGTGTGCTTAGTCTGGCCCTGAATGTCTGAGTTGGTAGCCAGCACTGAAATTTGGGAGTCATCACATAAAAACCAGGATGCTTGGCTTCTCCACCCCAAAACAGCCACATGTGGTCTATAATCTCCTTATAAGATGATGACTGGAAGGAGGAAAGGCTGCTGTCTTTAAAGAAAATCTAAACTTTCCTCCACTCTGGAGGCTGCTCACCTCTTGAGTTCTCCTTAGCCTTAACATCTGCCCAGCCCTGAGCAATTAAGTTCACAACTTCTCTTAATGCTATAGACACTGCTTTCAAGTAATCCTGAAGTGTACTGAAAATCATGTATTTGTAAATAAATGTGTAATAAACAGTGCTAAATCTCGGGGTATGTTTAATTTGTCATCTGAGATAATCCCTGTAAAATAATTTAAAAGCCCCTCCAAAACTATAGTGTTTTATCTCATGAAAAATCACAGGCAGAGATTTTATTTCACCCCTTGGGCAAATAATGTAGTATCATAGACAGGGATGAAGGACTCATTTTTATCCTCACTTGATTCATGAGCTTGCTGGAAACCAGTGAAGAAAAGTAATCTGCTGCAGAATCAATGGTGCCCCCATTTCCTAAACTAACATTTCCTAAACTAATTGCTATGAAGCAATCCACATTGTCATTTTTGACAATGTAGATTGCTTCATAGCTATGCAACATGTCCTGCATTGTACTGAGCTGGGCTCTTCACAGTTATGACGCCTCTGCTGGGTCAGTGTCACTATCCATATGCGTCATCAGAACATGAGGTTTGGCAAAAGTTAAGCGAACTCTTCAAGGTCAAGCAACTTATTGTTGGTGGGATTCTACTGTCAATCTTTCAGGCTACCAAACTCCCTCCCTCCCTACCAGGATATTGTCAAAATTCAGTCATACCAAGGAGATAACAGTAGAAAAACATACCCTGTTTGGAAAAAGTTCCAAACACTCAATGACTACTATCCTTGATGCAGCCACAGACAACATTCACTCTTATATCTGGCTAAAAGTCAGCATGATTTTAAATAAGTCTCAGCACCAGCAAAGCAAACTATGAGTCCTATGTGCAGTATCCCTGGGGCCCAAAGTTTAAAATGCCTGATTAGTTTTGGGTGGAGGACTCATATATGAATAAGTCTCATGCAAACAAACCTAGAGATTACAAAAGAAAAAGATTTTTCTTCATGTTAAATGACTGAAAGGGAAATGCCATAATTTTGATCTTCTCTCAGAGCTACAAACAACAGAGGCCAAGTTCAGTTAAAGGCATCATGAGTGGAACAGAGGTAGAAAGGAAACAATTGCTGCTTTCTAATTCCCTCCCTGATGAATATGAACTTGGTTTTGGAATTATCTTTAAGATGGAAGATTTACATTTTTAAATTATCAGAAAATATGTATTATAACATGGGGAAATACTCATGATAAATTGTTAGGTAAAAATAAATCAAAACAAACATGAATGATTATATAATTACTTAAACAGATGAAGATTCATGTGTTCATATGGGCTGGGTTGGAACAAAACATAGAAAATATAAAAGCAATCATTCATTTTGATGACTGACTTATGCACTACTTTAAAAATTATTTTACTTACTTCTTTTAATGTTTCCAGAATATTGTTTGTCAGATTAGTTTTTTAAGTTATGTAAAAGGTGAAAAAAAATTGACAGGTGAAACAGAAGTAACATGCTTTTCCATATGAAAAAAAAAAAAAAAGAATCAAGACTGTGGTGTTGGTGCAGGGATTGAGAAATGAACCAGTACTATGCTGAAGGGCACTGAAACAGACCAGTGCATATATGAAAACATAATATCCAGTCACAGTCAAAGTAGGAGCCTGAAAAAAAATAGATTCTTTCTTCACACCACACCCAAAAATAGACCTCAGGTAGAGGAGAGCCCTGATGTGAGAAAGCAACATTTAAACTTTTACAAGAAACTCAGAATATCTTTAGTCCTTTAGGGTAATGATAAGCATTTCTTAAATATGCAAAGGTAATATACATTTATGAGATAAAGGATATATTCAATGATACTAACATTAAAAGACAATTATTATACAATAAAAAGATAAGTGCAGGTCATAGACTTAGAGACTCTTCATGTGCAAAAGCTGACAGAAGAAAAATTAATAATTGAAAAAAGGTAAACATATAATTTTTTTTAAAAGGGCAAAGGCTTTGAAAAGCAATTCATTAAAGGAGGAATTCAAATTGTTAAAAACATAGACAAGATGCCCATCTTTACTAATAATAGAATTGTAAACTAAAGCCACATGAAATGCCATCAGACACCCAGAGGATCAGCAAAGCTTAAGATGTCTACTAATCTCAAATATTGGTACAGATGTGGAATGATAGGATGTCACAGACCAAAAACAGGACAAACATTTTTGACAGCAATTTGCCATTATTCCATAAAGCTGAAGATGCCTTTTTCTGATTGTCTAATTAAATTTTTCTTCTACAAAATTCTATCTATTTAAATAAAGACATATATGAACAATTTGCTCATTGTTCCTAGCCCTGAAAAACTGGAACAACCTAAATGTCCATTAACAGAACATTCTACTGTCAAGTRTAACTAATTAAATAAAAAACTTAAAATTAAAAAAAGAAAAATGAAAAAATAAAGGAATGAATGATACATATATCATTATGGTTAAATCTTTAAAACATGCTGTTGAGTAGAAAAATAAACTAAGAGTATGGTTCGAACCATTCATTTGAAGTGTCAAAACATGCAAAGCATTATTATGTATTACTTATAAGAGCCTGCATGTCTACAAGTGGCATGAGGATAGGACTATAGGTAATAAAACTATCAAGTCAGGGGTGCACATTTCTGCAGAAGGCACCTGGTGTTTGGATATTTATGTATTTTAATTGGCTTGCCATGACAAAGAACCCCCTCCTTAGAACATGGGATGGAAGTGACTTGCTTTCCCAGACATGCCAAGACTCACCTCAGATGTGAGTTCCCACAGCCATTTCTCTCCCAGGAGGAGCTCTTTTGGGGGCCCAGTTCTGGGGTTCCCGTGAGGTCCTGTTCACTGCAGTCTTCTTGGTCTGTGGCCCATTTATCCTTGGACTTCAAGCTGTCATGTTGTGAATCCAGAGAGATGATATCCGAGGGGGAGCTCATCACCCCGGAGTCCTCGGTCGTGTCCTCTGATGCAAAACAGCTGCCAACGGACACAGTCTCCTCAGCTTCTGATGGCACCAGTGGGACTCCATCCCCACTGCAGTGACTGCTGGGACCCAGGGGCAGGCTCACTAGACAAGACAGGGCAAGGATAAGTCAGCAGAAACCACTCCAGGTCCCACGCTGCCTAACAAGAGCAACATCCTTCTGTGAATATTGCTGAAATATGAACTTCAGGATGCTCCAAATACGGAGGGCATGACTTCACACACACCCTCCTCTGGAAACATTCTCAGAAAGAGCCCTATGTGCATATGCAACTGAAAGCAAAATTTTCTCTCCAAAACTCAGGATTTGATTAAATTAGTCCTTTAAATGTGTATTCAAACACGTTTAAATGTTTAAAGGAATGATATGATAAATGAGATTATTTCTAGTCTGATCCTTGGTTTAACTGAATTTGGCTTAAAATGAGTTCTTTATAAGAAAATTAAGAACAATTAGAGTTTTAAAAAATATAAGCAAACTTAGAAAGCAGTAAGGCTGGTATGAGAACATTGACAAATCAAGCCACACTTGAAAGAGAGCCTAAAATATGAATGACATGTTTCCTCAGCATTTGGTTCTCCCTTAATTTTTATATGTTAGAGAGTAAGTTTAGATATCAGTAAGAAACAACTGGGGGGAGAACCTTCAGGTAAAATTTAAAAGAATCAGAACAAAAATAAATCTGTGGTTGAGGTTCTCTAGCCCCTAGGCCCTGAATAGATTCCTGTAGCAGGAATAATAAGATGAAGAGAGCTATAACCCACACCACTTTAAAGTTAAACTCTGTCAAACATTAATATTAGGGATCATCTCTTATTTAGCCATCCTGTACATCTATCCAGCCATTTGGAGATAAATTGAATATAAGTAATGTGTAAGGCTATTATTTTTTTGAAATATTTATTTTTAGTTGGACACATACCTTTATTTTATTTATTTTATTTTTATGTGGTACTAAGGATCAAACCCAGAGCCTCGCACATGCTAGGTGAGTGCTCTACCACTGAGCCACAACCCCAGCCCAAGGTTATTATTTTTAATTCCTGAGTTTCTAGGCTCTCTAAAATCAATGAAAGCCCTATGCACACAGCTTGAGTTTGAAGAACAGGTACACACAACTATAGGGCAGCTATAAACAAAAGTTGTTGTAAACTCTAGTGTAGAAACAGATTTTTAAGTTTCAAGACACTTTAAGGCAGATCATCTATGCACTTTTACTATAGTCCTGGAAAGGAGGACAGTGTCTTGCTGCAATTCAGTGTACTTTGTTCTAAAGTTGCTGCTCCCATTATGTAGTCTCTGGATGCCTAACATGAATGGAGGCAGCAAGGCACTCCCAAGTGCCCACTCCAATGGTATGACTGTACACCAGTGGCAAAGCAACCTTGGAATCGCACTTGACATTGCCAGCATTCACCTGGACAGCAGATCAACATCATGTAATTAACAAAACCAAGAGAAAATCCCTTCAGGTATCAGTTTATATGAGATCTTTTTAATTTATTTTTATTTTTTATATGAGGTCTTAACAACAAAATAAACGTAAGAACAAACATTCAGAAGAAAACACATTCCACAAGAGTTCAAAAGGAAAGAATAGAAGGAGGAGGAATTGTTCAGAGAAACAAATGCACAAGGCAATATACTGAATGCAGTGAATGCTTTTCAATAGTGCCTATTATCTAGATTTACTCCCAGCTTTTAGTAGCAAAACTCTTAACTGGAAGCCAAACAGAAAGAAGAAACACTGCTTATGGATTAACACAACCTGAAACTTTTTCTGCCCATGATTTGCTGATAAGCTGCCACCTCTGAGTGAGTTGCCTATTGCTCTGATCATGCCACCTGTCAATCAGGACAGAGATGTCATTCCAGAGAACAAACCCAACTCAGAAGTCTGCTCCACTGTAACTGTGCCAAGAGCCCACAGGGCAAGAACCTATTGCCTGCCATTCCTCTCTTACCTTGTYTTTTGCCACCATCACTGAACAAGTAGGGAAATTAAGTTCAACATGTTTTTCTCTTTGTTGCATATAAACAGCATGACACAGTGCAAAAGAGCTTTAGGTCACAGAGACCTGGATTCAAGTATGAGCAGAGCAGCTTCCTGACTGAGCTCTGGAAGGCGGAGTAACAATGCCACCCTCAGGACTGTGACAAAGACTGGACTTCAGGGGCTGGGGTTGTGGCTTAGTGGTAGAGTGTGCACCTTGCATGTGTGAGGTACTGGATTCAGTCCTCAGCACCACATAAAAATACATAAAGGTATTGTCTCCATCTACAACTAAAAAAATGTTAAAAAAAAAAAAAGACTAAACTTCATGGGAAGGTCCTCACTGCCAAGTGGCTGCCGGGATGAAACAGATCCTGTGAGTGAACCTGGGGACACGGTTTTCAAACCCAAGAGTTTGAGCTTGTTGGCAACTCAGTTTATGAGGGGACAGACATACCCACAAAGAGTGGCAGTGCCATCTGGAATGCCCACTATGCTTTCCTAAAAGGATGGCAGTTGATGTAAATGCTCAGTCCAGTTCTCCCCTCTGCTGTCACATAGGTGTGAAGCTGTCTTCCCAGGTGGTCCCTAGGGAGGTACTTTGACTGCCTGGGGCAAGGAAGTTTTCTGGCTCATGCATCTCAGGGAGGCTCAGAGCACATGAGTGGTGGAGTGGGGACATGAATCTATCTCCACACTTTTTCTATCTACTTTTGAGATAGGGAAGCTTGTTGAGGCTTGTTTTAGATCCCTCAGAAATTTTGAGGCCAAGAAATTTTTAAGAAAACTGAGAGTCAGCAGTTGAAATTAAATCAACTGCCAACCCTTAAATCAACAGTGTGAGAAGTCCTGTATTCAGGACACATGTGTTAAGCCACTTAACAGTGCATAATGTGAGGGCCATGGCCACAGCTCCCCCTCTTGCCCAGGCAAGTCCTCCATTTCTCATGGTAATCTTCCCGCAGGCCTTTGTGGCTTGGTCACGGCCACATCACACCATCTGTGCATGTGCCAGGGAATGGGCAGACAGGGCTGGGCAGATGCAGGTAAGGAAACCCTCAGGGGGGGTTGCCTGAGTCTCAAGAACGAAGTCACATAGGAATCAAAAGGGCAACTTTGCTCAGAGTTGTGAATTACTCAAAGGAGCAGGAAGGGAGTGCAAGGCTTGGACAGGGCACACTGTGGATATTGATGCCTAACCTGCACTCAGTCTGAAGGGTGGCCAGAAGCTGAAGGCAGCTGAACCTGCAAAGCTTTGCAGCTGGGTGGGGTGGGGGGGGGGGGGGCGAGGCTATGACAGCAACTTTCTAGAAAAGCTTCTGGAAAGGCATTTGTATCAACTGCCACATGCAAACCCCTCCCTCAGCATCGACTTATAGATAGGAGCTAACACTCTGAAGAGGCCCGAACCTGGTCGCCATCAGTTTCCAGGCTACTTCTGATTCCTTCTTACCACAGTAGCTCTGTCAGGAGAAGAATCTTGACCAAATCAAAGGTTCTGTTTTGCTCATCCTGTCCTAGTCCCAATTCCCTTTTCTTCTTTTGGCTTGCCCCAGTGATTAACTCCAAGAACCATAACATATTTCAAAAATTTCCAAATGATATAATGGTACAGGAAAACTGCCCTCCCCCATCAATTCTAAACAGAAAAATCCAAATGTAGAAGGAGAACTTGGAATTGCTTTGCTGTGAGGAGGGCTGGAGGACCCCTAGAGGATCCTGTGTCCTCCATCCTCCATGTGTCCTGTTTTCTGCCATTGCTACCGCTTCCAGGTAGGACCCTGCCCTGAAACCAGGGGCAGCAGGTGGAGGTGTACTGAATTAAAAGTCCAAGTACCATATCCCAGCCAAAGTCTACTTGGAACTTTGGACATTCCTTTCCCCATTTTCTAAAATGAGCAGATAGTTGTTCCTGATAAACTCTCAGATTCCTTCCTGGTCTTCCTGAATGCCCTTTGTAATTTCAAACCAAGATATGGGTTATCTTGGGGTTGGGCATGATGGCTTAGCCCTGTATTCCCAGCAACTCAGGAAGCTGGACAGGAGGATCTCAAGTTCAAAGCCAGCCTCAGCAACTTAGCAAAGCTCTAAGCAACTTAACTGAGAGTAGTCTCAAAATAAAAAATAAAAAGTTCTAGAGATGTGGCTCAGTGGTAAAGCACCCTGGGTTCAATCCCCTGGTATCAAAACCAAACAAACAAACAAATAAAAATTCTCCCTCCCCCCAAAACTAAACAAATATATGAGATGTCTTCTACATTTGACTGTTGATAACTTAGAAATCTTAAAAGGCATATGACACTAACTTTATCCTTTCTGCTATTTTCTGTCTGCACTGTCATTATTTTTAAATTAATGTGCTGGCAAGTTTGTTCTTCTCTTAAAGTGTGAACAAACTTTTTTGAACTCAAAAGTTATTGTAGGATTTTTTCAAATGTAAAAACATGTACCTACTTTGTCTTTAACAGAAGCCCAATATAAATTAATGATTAAATTATCTTCCGACTGTGTAGACACAGAGCACAAATAAGAAATATTAACTCTTCCACTGTCCACCTGCATTATATAATCCCATAGTTCAAATGTCCCTGAATCTAAATGAGAGCTTTGGAAAATTCCCTAACTCAAGTACAAAGAAGAAAATATTCAGAGCTCTTGGTACCTCAAGTTGAACACAATCATTCTCAGTTCACTATCAGCTCATTCAAATTTTTCTTTTACAAAGTAACCCAAGAAAATTTCAAACATTCAACATAAATATCTTCCAAGGACAGATAGTCCCTGGCTTATAATGGCTTGTCTTACAATTTTTCAAATATACTGCTGAGCAAAAGTGATAAACACTCAGTAGAAAGCACATTTTGAGTTTTGATTGTTGCGAGGGCTGGTGCTATCCTGATGCTCTCTCAAGATGCTGGACAGCAACAGGAACTGCAGTTTCCTGTTGAGATTCTGTTGAGTAGTAGAATGGAAAGAGATTAAGAGAGAAACTACCAAAATTCTACAGTGTGTTGTGCTGCTAAGCTAGACTGCTGGTAGGATAGGTATATGAAATGCATTTTTGACTTATGATATTTTCAATTTACCATG